AGGAACAAGGAGACAACAATAGTGTATGGCTATAGGAACAAGAAGACAACAATAGTGTATGGCTATAGGAAAAAGGAGACAACAATAGTGTATGGCTATAGGAACAAGAAGACAACAATAGTGTATGGCTATAGGAACAAGGAGACAACAATAGTTTATGGCTATAGTAACAAGGAGACAATAATAGTGTATGGCTATAGGAAAAAAGGAGACAACAATAGTGTATGGCTACACACACTTAGAGTGTTCTCTAGATCAGTTCTTTAAACACAGATGAATCTGTCACACACTTAGAGTGTTCTCTAGATCAGTTCTTTAAACACAGATGAATCTGTCACACACTTAGAGTGTTCTCTAGATCAGTTCTTTAAACACAGATGAGTCTGTCACACACTTAGAGTGTTCTCTAGATCAGTTCTTCAAAGACAGATGAATCTGTCACACACTTAGAGTGTTCTCTAGATCAGTTCTTTAAACACAGATGAATCTGTCACACACTTAGAGTGTTCTCTAGATCAGTTCTTTAAACACAGATGAATTTGTCACACACTTAGAGTCTTCTCTAGATCAGTTCTTTAAACACAGATGAGTCTGGCACACGCTTAGAGTGTTCTCTAGATCAGTTCTTAAGAGACAGATGAATCTGTCACACACTTAGTGTGTTCTCTAGATCAGTTCTTTAAACACAGATGAATCTGTCACACACTTAGTGTGCTCTCTAGATCAGTTCTTTAAACACAGATGAGTCTGTCACACAGAGTGTTCTCTAGATCAGTTCTTCAAAGACAGATGAGTCTCTCACACACTTAGAGTGTTCTCTAGATCAGTTCTTTAAACACAGATGAGTCTGTCACACACTTAGAGTGTTCTCTATATTAGTTCTTCAAACACAGATGAGTCTGGCACACACTTAGAGTGTTCTCTAGATCAGTTCTTCAAACACAGATGAATCTGTCACACACTTAGAGTGTTCTCTAGATCAGTTCTTTAAACACAGATGAACCTGTCACACACTTAGAGTGTTCTCTAGATCAGTTCTTCAAACACAGATGAATCTGTCACACACTTAGAGTGTTCTCTGGATCATTTCTTTAAACACAGATGAGTCTGTCACACACTTAGAGTGCTCTCTAGATCAGTTCTTTAAAAGCAGATGAGTCTGTCACACACTTAGAGTGTTCTCTAGATCAGTTCTTTAAAGACAGATGAGTCTGTCACACACTTAGAGTGTTCTCTAGATCAGTTCTTCAAAGGCAGATGAGTCTGTCACACACTTAGAGTGTTCTCTAGATCAGTTCTTTAAAGACAGATGAGTCTGTCACACATTGTTCTCTAGATCAGTTCTTTGAAGACAGATATCCAACACACACAGAGTGTTCTCTATAGGAGTTCTTCAAAGATAAATGTCTGTCACACACTTAGAGTGATGTCTAGATGAGTTCTTCATGTCTGTCACACACTTAGAGTGTTCTCTAGATCAGTTCTTCAAAGACAGATGAGTCTGTCACACACTTAGAGTGTTCTCTAGATCAGTTCTTTAAAGACAAGTGTCTGTCACACACTTTGAGTGTTCTTTAACTCAGTTCCCTGAGACAAACAGAGAGCTAACAGGTACTGCACCCTTTTCCTCACAAAATGAAAAATACTATCACGTGTCAGATAGTCACACTGTCACACAAATGAATGTAACCAACAAAAAAGACTGTTCAGCAGAGAATAATAAACTGTGTGACTGTTTGGATTACTACTTGTAAATTGTTTCACAGAAATAGGTTAGTGTAAATAAGTACAAATAAATAAGTAACCAAAAATATGTTGCACAAAAAGCTGTTCAATAACAAAATCAAGTCCATAAATAGGGCAAATTATGGGAAACAAAACATCCCACTTATGTTCTCTCAATGTACAACATTCTCCAGGATCACATGTACAACATTTTCCAGGATCACATGTACAACATTCTCCAGGATCACATGTACATCATTCTCCAGGATCACATGTACAACATTCTCCAGGATCACATGTACAACATTCTCCAGGATCACATGTACAGCAAAACTTTGATTAAATGTCACTGGTTTAACTGCCAGTTTCTGTCGCGTGCACGCATGCGCAGGCACGCGCACACACACACACACACACAAATGTGTGAGTATCAATAAACAGTCATGTTTAATACTGTAAATGGATTACCCCCTCCTGTTTAAAGCTGTCAGTGGCCGAGGAGCTGAGATTGATCTGAAGCACCATAAACCCATCACTGACTAATCGCTATTGTGTTTGATACTGGTCTCAGTTGTGATATATATGTACATTATTACTCTTTTATTAAAGTTTATACTGATCGTTGTGAAAATTTGGTACTAATCATAAAAGTCACCCCATCTCGTTCGCATGGAAGATTTTGTTCTGGCTTCCATTCATGTCCTGCCAGTTCCATGAGCTGTCCTATGTTGTGTGGGCATTACAACGTGGCTTGCTTTATCATTTGTACATACTGTGTCAAAAAGTGGGCGCCGCAGGTTTGTTTTTGCAACTATTTTTTATGTGAACCTGAGGTTTCTGGTGTCAAGTAGTAGTGCAGGGGAAAGCATCGAAGCTGGGTGTGCTGCTTCAGAAGTATCAATTCATTTATATTTGTGTATTATTAAGCTTGTTTATGGTGGCTGTCATCCTGGAAGAACTGCATGAAACATTCCAAATGAGGAATACTTGACACCCCTGGACTATAGAAGTGTCCTGGGAAATCCTATAGGAAATCACACAGCTGACAAGATAGGGGTCACTTTCATAATTTGTACCTAAAATTATATGCAGTATGTATGCATTATTTACTTTCGAAGGCTTTTATTTCCATGTTTGTCCCAAGCCTACAGTGAAAGTATTTTACTGTACGTACATATTAGGAGATTTCTGTTATCCATCTATTCTATTATCAGTCACATACAGGGTCCGGTCAGTGATGGTTAATCAAAGTTTTACTGTACTAGCAAATACTGTTACAATAAAAGGAGGCATCACTATAATGGCAATACAAACATAATCATGCCAGACAACCGTAAACTGATGTATTTGTTGATTCATAACTGCTGATTCGGACCAAAGATAACATTAAACATTCTGTACAGGAACAATTCTGGTTAACAAGGGCAGATAAAATTTGTGGCAAGAATTCACAACTCTGCCTGTGACAATCATCTCTCTTTGAGGATTCAAATGATTTCTGCTTATAACAGTATTAATAATTATAATTGGAGATCATTTCCATAACAATTCTCATAAGTGTTGACTTATGACAAATTTTTGTATGTATTAAAAAAATGTGCTGATGTCGCTAACCTTCTGCAAGCATCAACCCAAAAAAATTACAATTTGTTTAATGTTAAAAGTTTACAAGCAATAAACAATTCGTGTAAAGCAACAGTTGTATAGTTTATACACATTACAAACCCACCATTCCTAAGACAGACACAGCCCAGTGTAGAAGAGGAAAGACATAGTAAAAAATATGATGAACTGAATGATTAGGCTGACTCAACTTTATCAGTGGCACACCCGCAGCTGGCACACCCGCAGCTGGCACACCCGCAGCTGGCACACCCGCAGCTGGCACACCCGCAGCTGGCACACCCGCAGCTGACACACCCGCAGCTGGCACACCCACAGCTGGCACACCCGGAGCTGGCACACCCGCAGCTGGCACACCCGCAGCTGGCACACCCACAGCTGGCACACCCGCAGCTGGCACACCTGCAACTGGCACACCCGCAGCAATATACACAGTTCAACACACAAGAGAGACCATTAAATAACTGAGAACTGATCATTATATGCTGCTGTAAAACACATGCCTGGTTTATGTCGCTTCAATGTTGTCACTGAATTTGTTGTTCTGGTCTGCTACCACACACACTGTGTCTAGATGCTGTTTTGGTCTACTACCACACACACTGTGTCTAGATGCTGTTTTGGTCTACTACCACACACACTGTGTCTAGATGCTGTTCTGGTCTGCTACCACACACACTGTGTCTAGATGCTGTTCTGGTCTGCTACCACACACACTGTGTCTAGATGCTGTTCTGGTCTGCTACCACACACACTGTGTCTAGATGCTGTTTTGGTCTACTACCACACACACTGTGTCTAGATGCTGTTCTAGTCTACTACCACACACACTGTGTCTAGATGCTGTTCTGGTCTACTACCACACACATTGTGTTTAGATGCTGTTCTGGTCTGCTACCACACACACTGTGTCTAGATGCTGTTCTGGTCTGCTACCACACACACTGTCTAGATTCTGTATATTGTGTGTTATCATCACTAGCTGACTGTATATTGTGTGTTTTCATCATTAGTTGACTGTATATTGCACCACAAGAACACATAAATTATGCAAGGCAATTATGAATTTAAGAATTAATAAGAAAACCCCTGAGAGTCCATTAAAATCATGAATAAATGACAGGTATTGATTGGTACTTATAGAATAGAAAAGAAAACTACTAATATAGAATACGGCAGTCAGCAGACAGACCGACACTCGGATGCTACAAACCTTACATTTGTTACAACTGACTAGATGCCAAAGTCTTGGGCAAATTACATGGTGTCTGGAGTGACAAGATGTTCAGTCTATAAGTGACAATCAATATCTCTAATTCACTGACCCAACAGACAAGGACACTTACATGACATTGGGCAAATTAATGGTGTCTGGAGTGACAAGATGTTCATTCTATAAGTGACAATCAATATCTCTAATTCACTGACCCAACAGTCAAGGACACTTACATGACAACAACAATAACCATCAAAACATCCCAAATTATCCCCAATCCCATTTGGTACCCTCTCTAAACCATTCCTCACCCAAAAAAACGGGATATTTACAGTTTGATTGTTGTACAACAGAAAAAGGACCCTGCCAGATACCCAGGGTGGTCAGTAATTGGTAGAACAATACTTTCTGATGCATGCTGGACTATCACAGATGGTTAGAACTTCTTCTGCAAGTACTCAAACACATTCTCGTAGACAAGAAGCATAATTGCCCCACCTGGAATGATCAGAAAATAAAATAAAACAATTTACTGACTTTCAAAGAAAGTATATGTGTACTATACACTTGCATAATCAGTAATCAACAAAATCATCGCCTGGGGCCTCATACTTATACTGTGACACATCAGTCCTGGCTTGAAAAGATATGCAAGCTCGGAGAGGCTTGTTGTGAACCTCCATTGGTAGTTCCTCCTACCTGTGTCTAACCCAGACATCGCCCTGGACATTAGAACACCAGCCTGGACTGACGAGGTGATTGTTAGGGCGCCAGTCGAATCCAGAGCAACACAACACTTTGACAACAATCGCAGTTCTCATTGACAAGAGTTCAACCCGCACACAGTCTAGAGCATGATTTAACACCAGCCTGCACTGATGAGGTCATTGTTGAATATGGCGAATAATCTGTGACAGTAGCACATGCGTAAACCAACAGGAAATGACAAATATACAGTTAAAACTCCAGGGCAATCTACCCTGACCACTCATTCATGATCTTGTTGGGCCACTATATGTCACATAGTTCATGATCTTGCTGAGCCACTATATGTCACATAGATCATGATCTTGCTGAGGCACTATACGTCACATAGGTCATGATCTTATTGAGGCACTATATGTCACATAGGTCATGATCTTGTTGAGCAACTATATGTCACATAGGTCATGATCTTGTTGAGCCACTAAATGTCACATAGGGCATAATCTGGTTGAGCTACTATATGTCACATAGGTCATGATCTTGTTGAGCTACTATATGTCACATAGGTCATGATCTTGTTGAACTACTATATGTCACATAGGGCATGATCTTGTTGAGCCACTATATGTCACATAGGGCATGATCTTGTTGAGCCACTATATGTCACATAGGGCTTGTAGTCTATCCCTCCATTCCGTTCTGTCTTGTGCAATCAGTTCAATATCGTGGATAGAGTCCAGTCCAGCAGCTTTGGCCTCTCTCATCAACGTTCATCTTAGGGTTTCTCAAAGGTGCCCTTGCCTCCTTAATCCCTTTTTTCCCCATTTCAATGCCTGTTTGGTGATTCTCTGCTGGTTTCTACTCTGTCTTATAACTGCTGATACTAACGGCTGCCCAGACATTTCTCTTGATGACGAAAATGCTATTCAAATAATTGGAGGATCAAGAGAAGTCACTCCAGGGAGGAAGTGGAGATATCAGCTGCAGAAATATTACCTGTGTTAGGATGACACCTGACAACAAACCACTACACAACCCTGACACATCATAAGACAAACCAAGTCTATATTATAATTAAATAATAAACTATTTTTATTTCCACATCTTCAGATGTTCACAAAAAATGAAATTAATATTCAATGAATTATCAGAATATATTGAAATATAGTCTTAGAAAATACTTTTACAAAATGTTTTTGTTTTTTAATCACAGTTTTAAAACATCTGGTCCTGAAAGCTCACATCTCCATGGTAACCAGTGTTGGTGCTCTAGAAAATTCATTGATCCTTTCCTCTTAGACTAAAAGACGTCACCAGTACAATATAACCACAACTGTACCCTGTACTACAAATATATACACCCATTCACTACCACGACACAAAAAGACATCACCAGTACAATATAACCACAACTGTACCCTGTACTACAAATATATACACCCATTCACTACCACGACACATAAAGACGTCACTAGTACAATATAACCACAACTGTACCCTGTACTACAAATATATACACCCATTCACTACCACGACACATAAAGACGTCACTAGTACAATATAACCACAACTGTACCCTGTGCTACAAATATATACACCCATTCACTACCACGACACATAAAGACGTCACCAGTACAATATAACCACAACTGTACTCTGTGCTACAAATATATACACCCATTCACTACCACGACACATAAAGACGTCACCAGTACAATATAACAACAACTGTACTCTGTGCTACAAATATATACACCCATTCACTACCACGACACATAAAGACGTCACCAGTACAATATAACACAACTGTGCTCTGTGCTACAAATATATACACCCATTCACTACCACGACACATAAAGACGTCACCAGTAGCCACACCTGTACCCTGTACTACAAATACAGCCCAGGTAAAAAGTCACCAGCCTCGAATGAAACCAGATACAATCCCCATAGAGCTAGGAAAAATGCCCACATGTTAACAAGGCAGAAATCAACTGTCACTCACCAGGTCCTAGACGCATCACTTTGGGGACCAGTCCTTTATACAAGGCAAAGTAGCTGAAAACAGAATCAATCAACAACATCATCACTACAGTCTGGTCAGGGAACAGGTCTTTAGTGACAACTTACAATAACAACAACAACAACAACAAAGAAAAGACAAGAATAGGGATCTCATGTCCTTGCCACTGAAGTGTTGTGGGGACGTGGTAGTGACTTCAGTTTCTGAGTGAAGAGATCTACCTGGAGCTACCTGCCATCTACCTGGAGCTAAGCTCAACTGGGGATGTGTACCTACTGATATCTCTGGGAATATTACACAGTGAGGCTGAACTATTTTCCATGGTGCAATTCTCGTATCACTATTGGAAAATTATGAGAACAGTTTTTTATCTTCTGAGTTAGTTGTGAGTCCTTTACAGACGTTGCAGAACCGATCCCAGTATTTTCGGGTTGTGGTTTTTTCTAGGCAAATTCACTTTCAACAGTGTCATTAATTCCTGAACAGTTGAGTCTGGATACCCCAGTTGACCTCTAGTAACATTTCCTCCTTTCATTTTCATCTTCACGTCTGCCAGCTTTCTGTTACATGTTGCAATGTTCTAAATGTGTTTGATGGACAACTGCAAACAAATGTATGATAAGGAACTGGTTCTGTCTGAGATACATGGCCAGGTGTTTTTCTACATCTTAGTCAGGCTGTTCTATAAACCCTGCTGGGTTGTACACCAGGGGTTCTGTCTGAGATACATAGCCAGGTGTTTTTCTACATCTTAGTCAGGCTGTTCTATAAACCCTGCTGGTTTGTACACCAGGGGTTCTGTCTGAGATACATAGCCAGGTGTTTTTCTACATCTTAGGCTGTTCTATAAACCCTGCTGGGTTGTACACCAGGGGTTCTGTCTGAGATACATAGCCAGGTGTTTTTCTACATCTTAGTCAGGCTGTTCTATAAACCCTGCTGGGTTGTACACCAGGGGTTCTGTCTGAGATACATAGCCAGGTGTTTTTCTACATCTTAGTCAGGCTGTTCTATAAACCCTGCTGGTTTGTACACCAGGGGTTCTGTCTGAGATACATAGCCAGGTGTTTTTCTACATCTTAGTCAGGCTGTTCTATAAACCCTGCTGGGTTGTACACCAGGGGTTCTGTCTGAGATACATAGCCAGGTGTTTTTCTACATCTTAGTCAGGCTGTTCTATAAACCCTGCTGGGTTGTACACCAGGGGTTCTGTCTGAGATACATAGCCAGGTGTTTTTCTACATCTTAGTCAGGCTGTTCTATAAACCCTGCTGGTTTGTACACCAGGGGTTCTGTCTGAGATACATAGCCAGGTGTTTTTCTACATCTTAGTCAGGCTGTTCTATAAACCCTGCTGGGTTGTACACCAGGGGTTCTGTCTGAGATACATAGCCAGGTGTTTTTCTACATCTTAGTCAGGCTGTTCTATAAACCCTGCTGGGTTGTACACCAGGGGTTCTGTCTGAGATACATAGCCAGGTGTTTTTCTACATCTTAGTCAGGCTGTTCTATAAATCCTGCTGGGTTGTACACCAGGGGTTCTCAAGCCTGCTAATGCAGCAACCCTTCAATACAGTTCCTCATCTGCCCACTTGTTTACAGGAGGTAGCAACCAACAACATCAGTATCTAGTCTCATGGGTGGCACTCATGTACCTACAGACGTTCATGTCCTCTGGACTTGGCACCCACCCTCCCAGGCTGAACAGATCTGGATGTTATCAGTCTATTTATACTGCTGACACAGTCCAGAAGTGGCTACAGCAGTTTGTCTCTCTCAAGTTGTATTCTGTGCAGCATTGCTTTTGTTATACTTCTCTGTTATAGGACTCTATGACAAAGTGTACAAGTTGAGCTATCTAAAAAAAAAGAGAAACATATTTAATTAAGCGTGATCAAAATAATTATGTACAAACAAAAGCATCAAGAAGACAAGAGAACAAACCACCCATCCAGACTCACCCCTCCTCCTTATATACAAGCGCCAAAGTCTGGAAACAACTTTTGTATTTGATCTGCCCTGGTACAGGTTGTGGGCCTTGAATTCTGCTCTTGGCCACGTCAAATGGAATGTTCGTAATGGAGGAGAATGTGCCGGCCATGAGCCCAATCACAAACCGACGGAAGAAATCTTTTAAAGGATCCTGTCAACAATAACAAAACTCTTACTTTCTGACAGATGTTTCCCAAAATAACAAAGTATTCAATAACATCTATTCATTGTCATCAAGGGGAAACAGTAAAATAGGACATAAGTAAATGTCAGAGAAACACAATGTACATAACCAAAGATGCAAGTGTGCTGAACTGATAAATATATCCCCCAGGTCAAAACTTTCAAGGAAGCATTTATGGCTGTCAAAATGTTGGCTTGCTAATCAAATTACTTCTCACTCAAGTACTCAATACTTCATTTTGAAAATAACCTTTCACTCAAGCTTAAGATATTTCACTGTGTGAAACGAACCTCACTTTACAGTACCAAAAACTTCACTATTTGAAATCAAATACTTCCTCATTACTGGACACTTCACTTTGTAACATTTATTAAACCGGATACTTTGTAAAATTAACCACTCACTCAAGTACTGGACATTTCACATTTGTAAAACTAACCACTCACTCAAGTACTAGACACTTCACACTTGTAAAACTAAGCACTCACTCAAGTACTGGACATTTCACATTTGTAAAACTAACCACTCACTCAAGTACTGGACATTTCACATTTGTAAAACTAACCACTCACTCAAGTACTGGACACTTCACACTTGTAAAACTAACCACTCACTCAAGTACTGGACACTTCACACTTGTAAAACTAACCACTCACTCAAGTACTGGACACTTCACACTTGTAAAACTAACCACTCACTCAAGTACTGGACACTTCACACTTGTAAAACTAACCACTCACTCAAGTACTGGACATTTCACATTTGTAAAACTAACCACTCACTCAAGTACTGGACACTTCACACTTGTAAAACTAACCACTCACTCAAGTACTGGACACTTCACACTTGTAAAATTAACCACTCACTCAAGTACTGGACACTTCACACTTGTAAAACTAAGCACTCACTCAAGTACTGGACACTTCACACTTATAAAACTAACCACTCACTCAAGTACTGGACACTTCACACTTATAAAACTAACCACTCACTAAAGTACTGGACACTTCTCACTTATAAAACTGACCACTCACTCAAGTACTGGACACTTCACACTTATAAAACTAAGCACTCACTCAAGTACTGGACACTTCACACTTATAAAACTAAGCACTCACTCAAGTACTGGACACTTCACACTTATAAAACTAAGCACTCACTCAAGTACTGGACACTTCACACTTGTAAAACTAAGCACTCACTCAAGTACTGGACACTTCACACTTATAAAACTAACCACTCACTCAAGTACTGGACACTTCACACTTATAAAACTAACCACTCACTAAAGTACTGGACACTTCACACTTGTAAAACTGACCTTTTGCTCAGGCACTAGCCCCTTGACGTTGTGATAGAAGCCAAAGTAGACCATGTTAAAGACACCATGTCGACCCAGTGTTGCGGTGAGCCCTTTATTGAGACCCTTGAGACCAAACCCATCTTTGGCCACAATCTCCTTGGCTGTCTTTATTGTACTTGATTGCTGGGGACAAATACGTACAAACAAACACATATTAGTCATCTGAACAATGAACTGGGACATCCACAGTAAATTTATGAAGTGTCTTGTGACTGGCTACAACAAGGCAAGACTGACAGTTGAGTCTGCTATAGAAGTCAAGCCAATTATAGCTGATGATATCCAGTCTTAGTGCCTGAACAAGAACACTATAATGCCAACTGGTGTTACACAGGAACATGGAAACTACAATGGAAAAAATCAGTATTACATGGACAGGATTTCAAGCAATGGAGTTGCAATGCCAAGCCTTCGTTTGCAAACTAAAACAATTAGGCAAAAGAGTTCTTGTTTCAAGACCGCATATATTCTCAACAACACACACACATATCATACATATCACACAACACACACATATCACACATCTTCATTGCTTAAATCTTCCACTTACGCACACACACAAAAAGTAAAACACTTCCGCTCACATCCCAGCTGTGAAATTAACATTCTTGATCCAAACCCCAACCCAGCTGTAACATTCCCATCATTGATCCAAAGTGAACTTAACATACTCACACTCCTACCCACACATCAACGGTACATTTTAAAACTTCTGCCTATATCCCAGCTGTCAATCTTCAATAATTCTACCCACATCTCAACCACATAAATATTCCACACTTTTGCCCTCATCTCAATGACATAAATATTCCCCATGTGTACCCACATCTCAACGAGGTAAAAATTCCACATTCCTATCACAGTTGTGTCAATATTTCACACGTCCAACCACTGACCAAACCTGAACAGTCAGGAAACCAGACAGGACAACAGACAAGGGAGGCTAACCTCACTGAACTTGTTCCTTTCTGCCTGCAGTTTCACCTTGACCACCTCAAATGGGTTAACAACAACAGCTTCTGTAAAGCCAGCAAACAGCCCTGCAAGGATCAACAGCTGCAACACATAGACAAGTTATTTTTATGTATTATACAAACAGTCCTGCAAGGATCAACAGCTGCAACATATAGACAAGTTATTTTTATGTATTGTACAAATAGCTCTGCAAGGATCAACAGCTGCAACATATAGACAATTTATTTTTATGTATTGTACAAACAGCTCTGCAAGGATCAACAGCTGCAACATATAGACAAGTTATTTTTATGTATTGTACAAACAGTCCTGCAAGGATCAACAGCTGCAACATATAGACAAGTTATTTTTATGTATTGTACAAACAGTCCTGCAAGGATCAACAGCTGCAACACATAGACAAGTTATTTTTATGTATTATACAAACAGTCCTGCAAGGATCAACAGCTGCAACATATAGACAAGTTATTTTAATGTATTGTACAAACAGTCCTGCAAGGATCAACAGCTGCAACATATAGACAAGTTATTTTTATGTATTGTACAAACAGTCCTGCAAGGATCAACAGCTGCAACATATAGACAAGTTATTTTTATGTATTATACAAACAGTCCTGCAAGGATCAACAGCTGCAACATATAGACAAGTTATTTTAATGTATTGTACAAACAGCCCTGGAAGGATCAACAGCTGCAACACATAGACAAGTTATTTTTATGTATTGTACAAACAGCTCTGCAAGGATCAACAGCTGCAACATATAGACAAGTTATTTTTATGTATTATACAAACAGTCCTGCAAGGATCAACAGCTGCAACATATAGACAAGTTATTTTAATGTATTGTACAAACAGCCCTGCAAGGATTAACAGCTGCAACACATAGACAAGTTATTTTTATGTATTGTACAAACAGCTCTGCAAGGATCAACAGCTGCAACATATAGACAAGTTATTTTTATGTATTATACAAACAGTCCTGCAAGGATCAACAGCTGCAACATATAGACAAGTTATTTTAATGTATTGTACAAACAGCCCTGCAAGGATCAACAGCTGCAACACATAGACAAGTTATTTTTATGTATTGTACAAACAGCTCTGCAAGGATCAACAGCTGCAACATATAGACAATTTAATTTTATGTATTGTACAAACAGCTCTGCAAGGATCAACAGCTGCAACATATAGACAATTTATTTTTATGTATTGTACAAACAGCCCTGCAAGGATCAACAGCTGCAACACATAGACAAGTTATTTTAAAGAATTGTACAAACAGCCCTGCAAGGATCATTTGCTGCAACATATAGACAAGTTATTTTTATGTATTGTACAAACAGTCCTGCAAGGATCAACAGCTGCAACACATAGACAAGTTATTTTTATGTTTTGTACAAACAGCCCTGCAAGCATCAACAGCTGTAACACATAGACAAGTTATTTTTATGTATTGTACAAACAGTCCTGCAAGGATCATTTGCTGCAACACATAGACAAGTTATTTCTATGTATTGTACAAACAGTCCTGCAAGGATCAACAGCTGCAACACATAGACAAGTTTTTTTTTATGTTTTGTACAAACAGCCCTGCAAGGATCAACAGCTGCGACACATAGACAAGTTATCATTATGTTTTGTACAAACAGCCCTGCAAGGATCAACAGCTGCAACACATAGACAAGTTATTTTTATGTATTGTACAAACAGCCCTGCAAGGATGAACAGCTGCAACACATAGACAAGTTATTTTTATGTATTGTACAAACAGCCCTGCAAGGATCAACAGCTGCAACACATAGACAAGTTATTTTTATGTATTGTACCAACAGCTGCAACACATAGACAAGTTATCATTATGTTTTGTACAAACAGCCCTGCAAGGATCAACAGCTGTAACACATAGACAAGTTATCATTATGTTTTGTACAAACAGTCCTGCAAGGATCAACAGCTGCAACACATAGACAAGTTATCATTATGTTTTGTACAAACAGTCCTGCAAGGATCAACAGCTGCAACACATAGACAAGTTATCATTATGTTTTGTACAAACAGTCCTGCAAGGATCAACAGCTGCAACACATAGACAAGTTATCATTATGTTTTGTACAAACAGTCCTGCAAGGATCAACAGCTGCAACACATAGACAAGTTATCATTATGTTTTGTACAAACAGTCCTGCAAGGATCAACAGCTGCAACACATAGACAAGTTATCATTATGTTTTGTACAAACAGTCCTGCAAGGATCAACAGCTGTAACACATAGACAAGTTATTTTTATGTATTGTACAAACAGCCCTGCAAGCATCAACAGCTGTAACACATAGACAAGTTATCATTATGTTTTGCAGTTTCTCATCTAAATTAGAGCTAAGGGATTCTCACATTCTTGTTGAGTCTTTCCTGAAACATTCCTAGATTTCCCCAGCCATACAATCCTGTTTAACATGTCCACATCATTGGCAGAAATAGTTGACAGACAAGTACTTGACAGCTGGCACTGGCTATTGTCTTCCAGGTAAATGTAGCATCACTTTTATGTTACCATTATTCTAGGATACCCTTCCAGGTAAATGTAGCATCTCTTTAATGTGGTCATTCTTCTGGAATACCCCTCCAGGTAAATGTAGCATCTCTTTATTGTCACCATTCTTCTGGGATACCCTTCCAGGTAAATGTAGCATCTCTTAAATGTCACCATTCTTCTGGCATACCCTTCCAGTTAAATGTAGCATCTCTTTAATGTCACCATTCTTCTGGGAAACCCTTCCAGGTAAATGTAGCATCTCTTTAATGTCGCCATTCTTCTGGGATACCCATTCATGTGAGTATGGTCTCTCTTTAATGTCGCCATTCTTCTGAGCAACCCTTCTGCTTTTGTATAAGAGATTTACTATCAGTCATAAACGAGAATTTTACTGCTAGTCCTCTGTGAGAGGTTCATTGTCAGTCAATTATAAGAAGTTCCCTATCAGTCCAGCTGATTGGCTGACTAATAGTCCAATATGAAATGTTCCCTGTCAGTCCAACTGATTAGTTGACTGATAGTCTAATATGAGATGTTTACTGTCAGTTAATTATAAGTGGTAAAAATAGGGATGACTGCAGTCAAGTTAGATCCAGGAAAATAATCCTGGGAACTGTGACTAAAAAGCTAACCGAAATGGGGAAGCTGAAAAACATGCACAAAAAACATAACTCAACATTTTGGCCAGGGCCTTTCTAGACATGAACTCAACTACACAATAACAAATGGGAGAGTACTCCAACCACATGAAAAATTTATTAAAAAAGGTGATGTGGATTGAATAAAATAAAATGAAGAAGGGCTCATAAAACAGTCGCAAAAGTAATAGTATACAATAAAAGTAGGAATAAAAGAGTAGTAGAAATATAAAGGCTAATGATCCTTAACCAGTACTGATAAGGGATGAATAAAATAATAATATGAAATAAAATAAAATAAGCATATAAATAATACAATAAAAATAAAAATAAAGTAACTGCTCAAATAGAGGTATGCTGGACATTGATGCCTCCTGGACTTAGAACACCTAGACTGTAGATGAGGAGATTTTCCAAAGCGAGGCACTTGGTATGATGACTAGAGCAAGATGGTTGGTTCATCAATAGTGCATTATGAGGTTCACCCTTGGTCAATTACAAGAAGTTCCCTATCAATCCTATTGGCTGGTTCACCAACAGTTCAATACGAGAGGCTCACTGTCAGTCCATTATAAGACGTTCCCTATCAGTCCAATAGGTTGGTTCACCAACAGTCCAACAGGAGAGATTCACAGTCAATCCAACTGTCTGATTCACTAATAGTCCAATATAAGCGGTACACTGTCAATCATTTCAATAGGAAAGGCCCTAGTATCAGTCCAATACACAGATGATAATAAACATTACAAAAGCATGAGAAAGAGAATCAAGGACAATGAGCAAATTAGGTGCTGTTCACGTTTTCAGGCCCATGATTAGACTAACTTCCTTGCCATTCATACCTCCTTAGGTCACTGGACCTCTACTATGTTGAGACAATGTGTATGATTGTGAGACAATGTGTGTAACTGTGAGACAATGTGTATGATTGTGAGACAATGTGTATGATTGTGAGACAATGTGTGTGACTGTGAGTCAATGTGTATGATTGTGAGACAATGTGTGTAACTGTGAGACAATGTGTATGACTGTGAGACAATGTGACTGGATACAATGTGTATGACTGTGAGACAATGTGTGTGACTGTGAAACAATGTGTATGACTGAGACAATGTGTGTGACTGTGAGACAATGTTATTGTGAGACAACGTGTGTGACCGTGAGACAATGTGTGTGACTGTGAGACAATGTGTGTGACTGTGAGACAATGTGTGTGACTGTGAAACAATGTGTATGACTGTGAGACAATGTGTGTGACTGTGAAACAATGTGTATGACTGTGAGACAATGTGTGTGACTGAGACAATGTGTGTGACCATGAGACAATGTGTGTGACTGTGAAACAATGTGTGTGACTGTGAAACAATGTGTATGACTGTGAGACAATGTGTGTGACTGAGACAATGTGTGTGACCGTGAGACAATGTGTATGACTGTGAAACAATGTGTATGACTGTGAGACAATGTGTGTGACTGAGACAATGTGTGTGACCGTGAGACAATGTGTATGACTGTGAGACAATGTGTGTGACTGAGACAATGTGTGTGACTGTGAGACAATGTGTGTGACTGTGAGACAATGTGTATGACTGTGAGACAATGTGTGTGACTGTGAAACAATGTGTATGACTGTGAGACAATGTGTGTGACTGTGAGACAATGTGTATGACTGTGAGACAATGTGTGTGACTGTGAAACAATGTGTATGACTGTGAGACAATGTGTGTGACTGAGACAATGTGTGTGACTGTGAAACAATGTGTATGACTGTGAGACAATGTGTGTGACTGTGAGACAATGTGTATGACTGTGAGACAATGTGTGTGACTGAGACAATGTGTGTGACTGTGAGACAATGTGTATGACTGTGAGACAATGTGTGTGACTGAGACAATGTGTGTGACTGTGAGACAATGTGTATGACTGTGAGACAATGTGTGTGACTGTGAAACAATGTGTATGACTGTGAGACAATGTGTATGACTGTGAGACAATGTGTGTGACTGAGACAATGTGTGTGACCGTGAGACAATGTGTGTGACTGTGAGACAATGTGTATGACTGTGAGACAATGTGTGTGACTGTGAAACAATGTGTATGACTGTGAGACAATGTGTGTGACTGTGAGACAATGTGTATGACTGTGAGACAATGTTTATGACTGTGAGACAATGTGTATGACTGTGAAACAATGTGTATGACTGTGAGACAATGTGTATGACTGTGAGACAATGTGTATGACTGTGAGACAATGTGTATGACTGTGAGACAATGTGTATGACTGTGAGACAATGTGTATGACTGTGAGACAACGTGTGTGACTGAGACAATGTGTATGACTGTGAGACAACGTGTGTGACTGAGACAATGTGTATGACTGTGAGACAATGTGTATGACTGTGAGACAATGTGACTGGAGACAATGTGAATGTGAGACAATGTGTGTGACTGTGAGACAATGTGTATGACTGTGAGACAATGTGACTGGAGACAATGTGATTGGAGACAATGTGACTGGAGACAATGTGATTGTGAGACAATGTGTGTGACTGTGAGACAATGTGATTGTGAGACAATGTGTGTGACTGTGAGATGATGTTATTGTGAGACAATGTGTATGACTGTGAGACAATGTTATTGTGAGACAATGTGTATGACTGTGAGACAATGTGTATGACTGTGAGACAATGTGTATGACTGTGAGACAATGTGTATGACTGTGAGACAATGTGTATGACTGTGAGACAATGTGTGTGACTGTGAAACAATGTGTATGACTGTGAGACAATGTGTATGACTGTGAGACAATGTGTATGACTGTGAGACAATGTGTATCACTGTGAGACAATGTGTGTAACTGTGAGACAATGTGTATGACTGTGAAACAATGTGTATGACTGTGAGACAATGTGTGTGACTGTGAGACAATGTGTGTGACTGTGAGACAATGTGTGTGACTGTGAAACAATGTGTATGACTGTGAGACAATGTGTGTGACTGTGACACAATGTGTGTGACTGTGAGACAATGTTATTGTGAGACAATGTGTGTGACTGTGAAACAATGTGTATGACTGTGAGACAATGTGTGTGACTGTGAGACAATGTGTATGACTGTGAGACAATGTGTGTGACCATGAGACAATGTGTATGACTGTGAGACAATGTGTATGACTGTGAGACAATGTGTATGACTGTGAGACAATGTGTATGACTGTGAGACAACGTGTGTGACTGAGACAATGTGTATGACTGTGAGACAACGTGTGTGACTGAGACAATGTGTATGACTGTGAGACAATGTGTATGACTGTGAGACAATGTGACTGGAGACAATGTGAATGTGAGACAATGTGTGTGACTGTGAGACAATGTGTATGACTGTGAGACAATGTGTGTGACTGTGAGACAATGTGTATGACTGTGAGACAATGTGTGTGACTGAGACAATGTGTGTGACTGTGAGACAATGTGTATGACTGTGAGACAATGTGTGTGACTGAGACAATGTGTGTGACTGTGAGACAATGTGTATGACTGTGAGACAATGTGTGTGACTGTGAGACAATGTGTATGACTGTGAGACAATGTTATTGTGAGACAATGAGTATGACTGTGAGACAATGTGTATGACTGTGAGACAATGTGTATGACTGTGAGACAATGTGTATGACTGTGAGACAATGTGTATGACTGTGAGACAATGTGTATGACTGTGAGACAATGTGTATGACTGTGAGACAATGTGTATGACTGTGAGACAATGTGTATGACTGTGAGACAATGTGTATGACTGTGAAACAATGTGTATGACTGTGAGACAATGTGTGTGACTGTGAGACAATGTGTGTGACTGTGAGACAATGTTATTGTGAGACAATGTGGGTGACTGTGAGACAATGTGATTGTGAGACAATGTGTGTGACTGTGAGACAATGTTATTGTGAGACAATGTGTGTGACTGTGAGACAATGTGATTGTGAGACAATGTGTATGTCTGTGAGACAATGTGTATGACTGTGAGACAATGTGTATGACTGTGAGACAATGTGTATGACTGTGAGACAATGTGTATGACTGTGAGACAATGTGTATGACTGTGATACAATGTGTGTGACTATGAGACAATGTGTGTAACTGTGAGACAATGTGTATGACTGTGAAACAATGTGTATGACTGTGAGACAATGTGTGTGACTGTGAGACAATGTGATTGTGAGACAATGTGTATGACTGTGAGACAATGTTATTGTGAGACAATGTGTATGACTGTGAGACAATGTGATTGTGAGACAATGTGTATGACTGTGAGACAATGTGATTGTGAGACAATGTGGGTGACTGTGAGACAATGTGATTGTGAGACAAAGTGTGTGACTGTGAGACAATGTTATTTTGAGACAATGTGTGTGACTGTGAGACAATGTGTGTGACTGTGAGACAATGTGATTGTGAGACAATGTGGGTGACTGTGAGACAATGTGATTGTGAGACAATGTGTGTGACTGTGAGACAATGTTATTGTGAGACAATGTGTATGACTGTGAGATGACGTGTATGACTATGAGACAATGTGTATGACTGTGAGACAATGTGTATGACCGTGAGACAATGTGTATGTCTGTGAGACAATATGTGTGACTGTTAGACTGTTCCACTTACTACAGGTTGTGAAAGGTAGTCCCCATAGGCAAACAGGTTTTTGTATCTCTCAAATGTGAAAAACTTGACTGCTCGCTTGGGTGTCTCTGCCAGAACTGGTGGGAGGATTCCTTTATAGAAGGACAGAGCCCTGGATGCAGAAGTCACCAGTAGATTGCAAAATCATTAATACTTTTTTTTTAAACCTCTTATTAAAACTGGGAAAATCACCATTGTTTTCTGAACTTAAAAACAGATAATGCCCACAGATATAACTACTTTTTTTTTTAAACGTACCATGAAGTATTAGGAAAGTTAACATTTGGATGTAGATAAGAAATGCAATTTTACAAGATCTCAGTACTGGGAAATCTGGCTCATAAACAGCATCATGTCTGTGAACTGAAATACTCTGGTTATTCTAAACAGACATCCCAATCTCTAAGACAGAATAGTATGAGAGGCAGGGATCAACCGGCATCATGGCTGGCATGGGACATTAAAGATACTCAGGGCATGAACTTGTTTGAGGCATAATAACTGACACAAGATAGTGCTTCCTGTAAGATGAGGCAGGGGTCAACCAGTATGGTGGTGGGCAGGGGAAATTAAAGATACTCGGGGTATGAACAGAATAGATAGTGCTTCCTGCTGGTGCTGATGAGAGCCACGCTTCCTGAGGATCAGCAATATGATGATCCTTGTCTTACTGAGGATAAGAATGCTGCAGCCACACTTCCTGGGGATCAGCTATATGATGATCCTTGTCTTACTGAGGATAAGAATGCTGCAGCCACACTTCCTGAGGATCAGCTATATGATGATCCTTGTCTTACTGAGGATAAGAATGCTGCAGCCACACTTCCTGAGGATCAGCTATATGATGATCCTTGTCTTACTGAGGATAAGAATGCTGCAGCCACACTTCCTGAGGATCAGCTATATGATGATCCTTGTCCTACTGAGGATAAGAATGCTGCAGCCACACTTCCTGAGGATCAGCTATATGATGATCCTTGTCTTGCTGAGGATAAGAATGCTGCAGCCACACTTACTGAGGATCAGCTATATGATGATCCTGGTCTTACTGAGGATAAGAATGCTGCAGCCACACTTCCTGAGGATCAGCTTTATGATGATCCTTGTCTTACTGAGGATAAGAATGCTGCAGCCACACTTCCTGAGGATCAGCTATATGATGATCCTGGTCTTACTGAGGATAAGAATGCTGCAGCCACACTTCCTGAGGATCAGCTTTATGATGATCCTTGTCTTACTGAGGATAAGAATGCTGCAGCCACACTTCCTGAGGATCAGCTATATGATGATCCTTGTCCTACTGAGGATAAGAATGCTGCAGCCACACTTCCTGAGGATCAGCTATATGATGATCCTTGACTTACTGATAAGAATGATGCAGCCACACTTACTGAGGGTCAGCTATATGATGATTCTTGTCTTACTGAGGATAAGAATGCTGCAGCCACACTTCCTGAGGATCAGCTTTATGATGATCCTTGTCTTACTGAGGATAAGAATGCTGCAGCCACACTTCCTGAGGATCAGCTATATGATGATCCTTGTCCTACTGAGGATAAGAATGCTGCAGCCACACTTCCTGAGGATCAGCTATATGATGATCCTTGTCTTACTGATAAGAATGCTGCAGCCCACACTTCCTGTCAGCTATATGATGATCCTTGTCTTACTGAGGATAAGAATGCTGCAGCCACACTACTGAGGATCAGCTATATGATGATCCTTGTCTTACTGAGGATAAGAATGCTGCAGCCACACTTCCTGAGGATCAGCTATATGATGATCCTTGTCTTACTGAGGATAAGAATGCTGCAGCCACACTTCCTGAGGGTCAGCTATATGATGATCCTTGTCTTACTGAGGATAAGAATGCTGCAGCCACACTTCCTGAGGATCAGCTATATGATGATCCTTGTCCTACTGAGGATAAGAATGCTGCAGCCACACTTCCTGAGGATCAGCTATATGATGATCCTTGTCTTAATGAGGATAAAAATGCTGCAGCCACAATTCCTGAGGATCAGCTATCAGCTATATGATGATCCTTGTCCTACTGAGGATAAGAATGCTGCAGCCACACTTCCTGAGGATCATATATGAATGCTGAGGATAAGAATGCTGCAGCCACACTTCCTGAGGATCAGCTATATGATGATCCTTGTCTTAATGAGGATAAAAATGCTGCAGCCACAATTCCTGAGGGTCAGCTATTTGATGATCCTTGACCTACTGAGCATAATAATGCTGCAGCCACACTTCCTGAGGATCAGCTATATGATGATCCTTTTCTTACTGATGATAAGAATGCGGCAGCCACACTTCCTGAGGATCAGCTATATGATGATCCTTGTCTTACTGAGGATAAGAATGCTGCAGCCACACCTCCTGAGGATCAGCTATATGATGATCCTTGTCTTACTGAGGATAAGAATGCTGCAGCCACACTTCCTGAGGATCAGCTATATGATGATCCTTGTCTTACTGAGGATAAGAATGCTGCAGCCACACTTCCTGAGGATCAGCTATATGATGATCCTTGTCTTACTGAGGATAAGAATGCTGCAGCCACACTTCCTGAGGGTCAGATATATGATGATTCTTGTTTTACTGAGGATAAGAATGCTGCAGCCACACTTTCTGAGGATCAGCTATATGATGATCCTTGTCTTACTGAGGATAAGAATGCTGCAGCCACACTTCCTGAGGATCAGCTATATGATGATCCTTGTCTTACTGAGGACAAGAATGATGCAGCCACACTTACTGAGGGTTAGCTATATGATGATCCTTGTCTTACTGAGGATAAGAATGCTGCAGCCACACTTCCTGAGGGTCAGCTATATGATGATCCTTGTCTTACTGGGGATAAGAATGCTGCAGCAGTACTGCCGTAGACACTGGACAGATGTACACAGAAGGGTTTCCCAAATTCTAGGAACATCAATTGTATTTGATCTACATAGCAGGTTATGGTCATATAGCAAAATACATAGTACAGGAGGAAAATACAAGAGCATGGATAGTAAATATGTGCATTCAAATATACATACATACAAACATGTTCATACTTATACACACTCATACATACATACATGCACTAATCCACACATTGATACACACATGCACACACAGACACACATCTACCTACATAGACACCATTCTAGATACAAACTAATGTACACAAACACACTCATACATACATAGACATGCAAATAGACAGGTCGCTCCAAGATACACATAAACAGTCAAAACCCTTCATTCACTCTTTTTCACTTAAACACACTCAAATGTAGATACACTCCTATTTACATACTACATTCATATACACCCTCATACACACATACATACTCATACATCCACGCACTCTACGTACTTCCACATCCTCTACATCCATATACACAATTATACTTTCACACACACATACATAGATTGTTACACATACACACACAGAGACATACAGAAAGAGAGGGTGGCATAATGACGCAGCCTAGCAGACACAATGACAGACAAAAAAATAGACACAGAATGAGGCAGACAGAGTGAGAGTGACAAAGTGAGTGACACACACACCCACACACACATGAACACACACACATGCACACCCAGACACAGAGAGACAAAAGAGAGAGAGAGAAAGTATTTTGAATGGAGAGCCATCTGACTGGTAGAGACTGCACCTACCCTTCTTGTCTGTACATGGTGCGGAAACAATGAATGACAGAAGTGTATCTGTTGGGATCGTTGACTCCTCCCTGAATCTGAAACCTGGTTTTCACCAGATCCAGGGGGTTCATGATGATGACCTCAATAAAACCTGTCAATCATTCAACAATGAGACAGGAAAAATTACAACAGCAAATTAAGCCTGATCATCATCATCATCATGTGACATTCCAGTAAGCATAGGCCATCTTTCACAATCACTATAATCACAGATCAGGTCAACATTTTGTCTTGCCCATCCATGTAACCAGGTCATCCAGATATTTATCTCTTTGCCTTCCTCTTGCTCTCTTTCCATCAGTCTTGTCAGTTGTTACCAAGTTCTCCAGTCTGTTCCATCAGTCTTGTCAGCTGTTACCTGGTTCTCCAGTCTGTTCCATCAGTCTTGTCAGCTGTTACCTGGTTCTCCAGTCTGTTCCATCAGTCTTGTCAGTTGTTACCAAGTTCTCCAGTCTGTTCCATCAGTCTTGTCAGCTGTTACCTGGTTCTCCAGTCTGTTCCATCAGTCTTGTCAGCTGTTACCTGGTTCTCCAGTCTGTTCCATCAGTCTTGTCAGCTGTTACCAAGTTCTCCAGTCTGTTCCATCAGTCTTGTCAGCTGTTACCTGGTTCTCCAGTCTGTTCCATCAGTCTTGTCAGTTGTTACCTAGTTCTCCAGTCTGTTCCATCAGTCTTGTCAGCTGTTACCTGGTTCTCCAGTCTGTTCCATCAGTCTTGCCAGCTGTTACCTAGTTCTCCAGTATGTTCCATCAGTCTTGCCAGTTGTTACCTAGTTCTCCAGTCTGTTCCATCAGTCTTGTCAGTTGTTACCTAGTTCTCCAGTCTGTTCCATCAGTCTTGTCAGTTGTTACCAAGTTCTTCAGTCTGTTCCACCAGTCTTGTCAGTTGTTACCAAGTTCTCCAGTCTGTTCCACCAGTCTTGTCAGCTGTTACCAAGTTCTTCAGTCTGTTCCATCAGTCTTGTCAGTTGTTACCAAGTTCTTCAGTCTGTTCCATCAGTCTTGTCAGTTGTTACCAAGTTCTTCAGTCTGTTCCACCAGTCTTGTCAGTTGTTACCAAGTTCTCCAGTCTGTTCCATCAGTCTTGTCAGTTGTTACCTAGTTCTCCAGTCTGTTCCACCAGTCTTGTCAGCTGTTACCTAGTTCTCCAGTCTGTTCCATCAGTCTTGTCAGTTGTTACCAAGTTCTTCAGTCTGTTCCATCAGTCTTGTCAGCTGTTACCAAGTTCTTCAGTCTGTTCCATCAGTCTTGTCAGCTGATACCAAGTTCTTCAGTCTGTTCCACCAGTCTTGTCAGCTGTTACCTGGTTCTTCAGTCTGTTCCATCAGTCTTGTCAGCTGTTACCTAGTTCTCCAGTCTGTTCCACCAGTCTTGTCAGTTGTTACCAAGTT